CCCCCCCCCCCCACAGTGCCTGGGACGCCCCCGCCCACCCTGTCTCAGCCCTTCCCAGGCTCCCCTCCCGCCCACCCTCCTAAGACGGACTACCCTCCGGGCCCACCTCCCACCCCTCGTCCCCTCGAGGCCCCCGCTGCCTGCCCGTCCAGGCTCCTGCCCCTGCCGCTCTGCCTACCTGGGATGCTGCCTCCACTAGGAAGCCCTCCCTCCTGCCCGCCCTTCCCGCCCCGGACCCACAGCCATGGTGGGGGTTGGGGGAGAATGTTCCAGGGGAGGGGGGACCAGAGAACACTCCCAAGGCAGGCAGGCGAGGGCCTGCTGGAGAGACAGGCACAGGGCCCCTATGGCTTCAGGTCACAGGGAGGTGGGCAGCGGCGGCCTAGGTCCCCGGTTTTACTCTGCAGCACGCCGGAGGCACGGGAGGATGAGGTGCAGGGCAGGGGGGTGACGGGAGCCCAGGACAAAGGCCGGGAGGCCACCTGGACAGCCATGACCAGGCCCTGGGCAGCCTGGGCGCCCGGAGCACGTGGCAGCAAAGCCCCCGTGCCAGGGGGTGGCAGCAGGCGCGGGGCAGTGGGAGGTCACGCCGTCCCTTCGACAACTTCCGGCCCGGCCCGCGGCCGCCCCTCTCACCTTGCACACGTTGTGCTGGCACACGGTCGTGATGGGGCGAAACACCAGCTCTTGGCAGCAAATGCACTGGAACGTCTCCTCCACTTTACTCAGGAACTTCTGGAACTGGAGGAAGGAGAGTGTGTGAGCCGAGCCCACCTCTGAGCGGCACGCCCACACAGGGCGGAGGCACCTGTTGCCCGCCCCCGGTCAACACAAGAAAACAGCGGCCCCGAGAGGCCCCGAGTCCGAGGTGGGCTCGTCAGCAGCTGCTTGGGCGTCGGGGTCCACCGCTAGGGGCCGCAGAAGAAGGCCTGTCAACGTGGAGCTCAGAGGCCGGGGGAGGGGGACCAAAGATGGGACAGGCGGGACCGGGACGCCGCAGCAGAGCTGGGAGGGCGGCGGGCAGCCGGGGAGGGGCTGCCCCGGGACGCTGCGAGGAGAAAGGCGACCGGGAGGACGACACACGGCCGGCTGGGTCACGGCCCCCAAGACGCCACATCTGAATCCCAGGACTTGTGGTGTCACCTCGTGAAGCTAATGGGACTTTGCAGACGGGGTTAAGGACGCTGAGACGGGACACTGCCCTGAGTTACCCAGGTGGCCCACGTCATCACAAGGGTCCCTGTGAGAGGGAGGCGGAGCCCGGAGCGACGTGCGGGGCCCAAGGATGCGGGCCCAAGGATGCGACACTTGCAGACGCCGGGGAAGCACGGGAAATGGGTCCGGCCCTGGAGCTTCTGGAAGGAGCCGGCCCTGCCCGCACCTGGCTTTGGCCCCTAGGCACTCATCCGGGCTTCTGCCCTCCAGAACTGCGAGAGAATGAGGGTTTGTGTTGCCATGAGCTCCCAAGTCCGTGGTCATTCGTCACGGCTGCTGCAGGAGTCCTGAGCAGGAGCACTGCGGGGGAAGATCCTCACGGCCGAGGGACCGTGAGGGCGAAGGCCCCGAGACAGGATGACCGGGACCAATAGCCGGGGTGGCTCAGTCGGTGAAACACCTGGCTCCCGCTCACAATCTCACGGTTCGTGAGCTCAACCCCCACATCGAGCTCTGCACTGACAGCGTGGAGTCTGCGTGGGATTCTCTCTTTCACGGTCTCCCTGTCCTTCGTCTGCTCGCTCACTCTCTCCCCAAACAAAGAAACTCAAAAAAGCAAAACAAACGAAAAGAGGACATCAGAGTCGACAGGCAGGCCCTGAGCATACATAATGGACTCTGGAGAGCGAGGCACGGGCCGCGGTCAGGGGCCACTGGGCTGCTCACTTTCAGTGACCCGTCCACGTCATTTACTACGCTCAGAGCAAGAGGACCGAAAAAAGACAGGCCTGGTTTGGCGGTTCCTTAGAAAGCCGAGCACAGACTGACCTGACGATCCGGCGCCTGGGACTACGCCCGAGAGGGGAAAGCTGGGGACGTGCCCCCTCGGCGGGGGCGTATTTTCTGTGCAGGGACAGAAGCCAGACACAGAAAGAATATGCCGCGTGACCCCACGCACAGGGGGTCCCTAGAGGAATCCTGTCCACAGAGAGAGAATAGATGGTGGGAGCCGGGGGTGGGGGTTGGGGAGTCAGCACTCTGCTGGAATAGAGGCTCAGTCTGGGGAGATGGAAAGT